TGACCAAAGAAGACCACGAGACACCTAGCAGTGCAGAGCTGGTGGCCGATGACCCCAACGACCCATATGAGGAACATGGGTTGATACTGCCAAATGGAGAAATTAACTGGAACTGCCCGTGCCTGGGGGGCATGGCCAGCGGCCCCTGTGGGGAACAGTTTAAGTCAGCCTTTTCCTGCTTCCACTATAGCACAGAGGACATCAAGGGATCGGACTGTGTAGACCAGTTTCGGGCCATGAAGGAATGCATGCAGAAATACCCAGACCTATATCCCCAAGAGGATGAAGAAGAGGAGGCAGAAGAGAAGCCATCAGAACATGCAGAGGAAATGGCTCCCACTGGAGCCACTGCCACCAAAGAAGAGTCAGCGTCCATTTAATGCAGGTCACTGTGCTGCCTTCTGTCCTCCCATTCCAAAGTCACATGGACCTTTTGTAAAATGCCTTTTCATTTCATTGTTCTCCAAGAAATGTCTTTCCCTGTGTTAGTCTGTGCACTGTAATGTATAAAATAATTTATTTTGATGATCAGGGTCTTGGCCCTTTGACAGATACACTGTAAAGGAAAGCAAAAGAGGGTGTGTGTGTGTGTGTGTGTGTGTGTGTGTGTGTGTGTCTGTGACCTGTATAAATCTGTCAGCCAATGTAGCTGCCACTTGATTTCTTTCAGATTGCCCTGAATTTTGCCACTCTGAAATAATGTACTGGATGGTCTTGGTAATTGAAAATGGTTATCCAGGAATGTTTCTCATAAGCAAGTTGATTTCTTCTGATCTGTAATACTCCTTTTCATAGCTTTTATATCTCTTTGGGAAATTAAATAGAAGCAGCAACATCTTGCTTCTGAAATGCTCCTGTGGGGTCATTCCTCATAGAAGAGGCCAGGTAGTCAAGACCGCCATGCCCTTGCATGTGGGGTCGTCCCAGACTTCATTCCTCATATACTTTTGTTTCCATTAACCTTGAACTTGGTTTTCTAGTCTGGAGAGTGAGGATTTGGACCCTCCAATTCCTGCCCCTTTCTGTGTGAAAGGAAAGGCTAGTTTTTGCAGTTTTTGTTTTACTGTTGTGAGAGCCCTGGTTTGGGGGTTTGTATTTATACTGGCTCTCAGGCTGGTCAAATGTCATGTTCTTAGAGGTTGGGACCTAATTATTACCAGTGTAGCAGCCAAAAAAGGAAACTGTGAATTCAGTAACTCAATTAAAAGAAAGGGGATTACTACCTGAAAAAAAAAAAAATCTTCAAAAAGGGAAACTGAATGTGATCCAAAAATAACTGATATTGCCATCCAAGGATAGCATACTCAGACAAGATGTTACTCAAGAATAAGAGAAAGTAGATATTTTCATAGGTGAAAAATGTTAGGCAGCATGAGATGCATTACAAAAATGATGGCACTTGTTAAGGAAAACCAGCCAAAGAATACATGAATCAAAACAGAGCACTGAGAAGCAGAAAACAGTGGTAAAAAGAACTGTCAATATAATATTGACTCTATGCAGCGGGAGAGACAATACTAAATTACTATAAAAATTTTGACACACATTAGAAAATAAACGTTTAAGAATGTGCAGTGTAAGCCCAGTATGTTGGCACATGACTGTAAGACCAGCACGTGAAAGCCTAAGGCAAGAGCGTCTAGAGTTGAAGGTCATCCCGGTGACATAGTAAGTTTGAGGCCAGCCTGAGCCGGTCCCAGTGTGAAACGGTAAGACCCTGTGTTTTTCTAGAAGGATGTTAATTGAATCAGCTAAAAATGCTAAGATTTTATTAAAATATAAACACAAATTAACAACTTTTTATTTTTCATAAATTTACTGTTCATTTAGAACAAAATTAGGAATTAACATCTCTTATGCTGAGGAAATATGTTCTGACTTTGAATTTCAAAAATTCTTTTAGTTGTATTTGTTTCTTTTCTTCTATTATAAATTTGAATAGTATATGTAAGAACAGGATTTATGTTGTGATTTCACTTGGGGAGAAGTTTTTCTTACTTTTTCCTTCTTTCTTTTACTAAAAAATGTCTTCAAGGAGGTCCACTATTTCTTCTTGCTTGCTTTCTTGATTTCTTTGTTGACCTTCCTTCCTTCCTTCCTTCCTTCCTTCCTTCCTTCCTTCCTTCCTTCCTTCCTTCTCATCTTTCTGAGGCAGGGTTTCACTATGCAGTTCAGGCTGGCCTTGAACTCACTTTGTAACCCAGGCTGGCCCAAGTGCTGGGATTAGAGGTGTGCACCAGTGCTATGTTATTTCTAAATGATAGAATTGGATGAATTGTTTGTTCTTATACTTTTTTACAGCTCATAAATTGTTTATTATAATGTTTTTATAGTATGTAGTCATTAAATAATTTTTGAGAGAAAACGCTGAAAGAATTGACACTGAGAAAATAGCAACTTCTGCTACAGTAGGCATTAATTGAAATAACGTGCGTAAACCTCTTAGTGCCATACAAAAGAACACAATAGAAGTTAGCTACCTTCTGTTTTATCTTTGATGTTTAGAAAGCTCTGAGTATAGCTTGCATATTTTTTTCATAAAATCTTCCTAGGGCCTGGGAGATAGCTCAGTAGAATAAGTGATTGGCTGGCAAGTGAAAGGTCCTGAGTTCAATTCCTGGTACTGAAAACAAAAAAAAATTCTATCCATAAAACCTTCCAAATGACATTCCTATTGGGAGTGTTGTTGACAGTTTTATGGAACTGCATATCATCATATGTTCCAAGAAAGCTTAGGAAAAAAATGCAGGAAAAGGATGATCTGTACGTAACAGGACTCACTTCCGCTTGTCCGTACATCACATACACTTCCTACAGCTGTTGTTTAGATTTGCCTCAAATCCAGTTTTCTTTGTATTCTTCATTATTGTATTCATCTTGAAAAAGAAATATAAAAATAGTTGAGGGGGAGAATAGATAGAATTTTTTGGTAAGTCACGTTCTGAAAATTAATTTGATATAAAATTTCTGCATAATAAGAATAGAGCTAAGGTTGTGCAAAATTATACACAGAATTTCATCATTAGCTTATGTTTACTTCCTGTTAATAGAAGAAACCAGAGGAAGAGCAAAAAGAGAATTGACTGGGGACTCTCATCTGGTTCACATTTGAATCACTAGTAAAATATGGACAAAATTAATTTATAAATGGTATTTATATCAACACATTTTTATATTCTCCTTGCAGTAAAACCACAAATGTTGTTGATATGATCAAGATTTTCCTGGGGCTGGGAGATAGCACTGAAGTCTAAGCACCCGCCTGGCAAGTGCAAGGACCCAGGTTCAATCCCTGGTACAGCATGCAGTGTCCAGGTGCACCATGCAGGCCACCAAAACTGAGGGGGGTGGTGCATGCCTGAAATCCCTGCACTGGGGAAACCGACACAGGAGAATCATTAAGAGTACAGATGTATAGCGAGAACCTATACCAAATAGATAGATAAATAAAAGAAGAAGAAAAAAAGATTTTCTCTACCCAGGCATCCTGGCACATGCCTGCAATCCCAGCTACTTGGGAGGCTTGAAGCATGAAGATTGTGGGCAACCTAATGAGACCTTGTCATAAAATAAAATAAAATAAAATAAAATAAAATAAAATAAAATAAAATAAAATAAAATAAACTATGATGATGCATGCCTATAATCCTAACACTCAGAAGGCTGAGGCAGGAAGATCTATGAGTTTGAAGCCAACCTGGGCTAAACAGGGAGACTCTGCCTCAAAAAACCAAAATAAATAAATTAATTAAATAACTTAGTGGTGGAGCACTTACTTGGCCTGCATGAGGCTCTGTGTTCAATTCCCAGTTCTACTCAAAAAAACTCATAATTTTGATTTATCAACTAACGACCTCAATAATGTTTTACAAATATAATTGCACTTAGCGTATATACAAAATTTAATAAAAGTCTACAAAATTTTATATGTACTTTCTTCAAAATATGGAATTAAAAGTAAAAGGTTAGAATACTAAAAAATTCATCTTTTTCAAAAAAATTTTTTAGAAATTTCCCTGCCGGGAAATGATTTGACTGTGTGTCCAGTCTCCTTGATCTACGAATCTTTACCATGCAGAGCCATCTGGCCTTCTGAAGCAATACACTGGAGCCACCGTAAAACCTGCACATTTCTCACAGTAGCCTTTTGTTTCAAGGAGACAGTGTTACCTGGGCCTTGAATAGTGTTAGCCAAAGGCTTTTCTTTGGCAGTGGCAGGCCTTTCTTTGCCAGCATGCACATCACAGTAACAAAGACACCCCTGTTCTTTAACACATCTGCTTTGTGGATGTTTCTGCCTTGTGTGGCTGGCTCAGGGTAGGATCCTCAGTGCTGGCTTCTCTTGCCCAGATCTAAGCAGAGCCACTACATGGAATTGAGTATTGCTACTATGAGGTTTTCTTGGTGCCAAGCCCTATAAAATTTAAAGTGGATTCTCAAGTACAGGAATTCCTGAGAATCCCAAGAGAGAGCTCCAAAGGGCCAGTTCTCCCACTCACAGTAACAGTAACTCAAGGAGCAAGGGGCCCTGGAGCTGCTCCAGGAGAGACTGTGGGGCCAATCTCCCCAGGCCCTCCTCCCTCTGTCCTCTCTCATCTCACTCCAGGGATCCTGCTACACAACTTGCACCTGAGCATTGGCTGGGACTACTCTAGTCTAAACATAAGTGGGAAAATTTAGGGAGCAGGGAGAGGAGACTCTCAGCTTTTTCCCAGAAGCCCTTGGGCTCCCACGGTCAATGGTTTTCCTCATTTGCTAAGCTCAGGAGTTGGCCTTCAACATTTACATTTCTAAAGATAAGTGTAGGACTGGTGAGATGGCTCAGTGGTCTAAAGCACCTACTTAGAACAAGCTTAGCAAAGCACAGGGACCGCGGTTCAGTCCTCCAGCACCACATGCTAGCCAGCCCCACCCCCTGGACAGGGAACATAAAAAGGACTATTTTTATTAATGTACCAATAGAACATGTAAAAAGGAGATTTTTGTTGCTTAGGGCATGGACTTTATGAAATCATGCAATAAAAAACTTATTCGTATTATTTGTAATATTTGTTTTCTACTATAAAATTAACTAGTGCTCATCACCAAAAAATTTGGAAAATGTAGAAAAAGCACAGATAGAAAAAGAAATGTCACTCGTATTTCTTTACTCACATTCAAGCCTTTTCCCTTTTTATTTTACTTTTATTTTTCAGTGGTACTAGGGCACAGACCTCAGGGCACTCCCCAAGCAAACTGAAGCCTCAGGCCATTTTATTTTTTTACTTTAAGACAAGATGGAGCAAACTGCCCAGACAGGCCTCCAATTTCGATCCTCTTACCTCAGCTTCCCAAGTTTCTGGGATGATAGATGTGTGACACCAGGCCTGGCCTTGTTCTCCTGTTAAACTAAGATTTACAGCTGCTGAAGAAGGTGGAAGTAGGGTAGGAGGGTGGGGAGAGAAACTGAGGTCTCACTATGTAGTTCAGGCTGTCCTCAAACTCTGGATGATCCTGCTACTTTAGCCTTCGTTATGCCGGAATTGC